ATCCTCTAATAAGAATAGAGAATATATTTAAGCCCATATATATATATATATATAAAATGCATCCCACCTTCTATGAAATATGACATCTTTGCTATAGGTTAAGTAATATTCAAGTTTAACCCTGTGCCCTTGAAGGGGCTTTATCCAGCAACCAGTTCAAAAGAATACATTTTCTTGCACAAAATATTAGGAACTTGCAAAGTGTCTTTTTATGTTCGTCTACAATAATGTCATCAACATATGTTTTGGATCACAGCCAATATTAATAGATAACATTAAGTTCTTGTTTAACCATAACCCCAAACTTCTGAGTCTCCCTACAATGACTGAGATCTCCTTATAAATATGAGCTCTGTGCAAGATTTTATTATTGCTATTTCAATTATTTTTCATTTTTTTATCATATTGTTGTAATAATGAAAAAATAACGTTAACACTTTATTTTAGGGTCTCTTAACTAGTTGCTTATTAGCATGCATATTACTAGAATATTAGCCATTTATTAGTAGTAATTAAGCATATATTAATGCCTTATTCTACGTCCCTAATCCTACCCAATACCTAAACTTAACAACTACCTTACTAACGATTAATAAGCAGAAAGTTAGGAGTGTATCGAGAGAAAAGTTGTAGTTAACAGTGTATAAGTGTTCCCTATTCTAAAGTGTTACCAAAATAACAACAAAACTATTAATGAGGATAATAATAACAGCATACAATCTAATGGCAGTTTCTCTTTGCAGTAATGAAAATGATGTGCTTAATTATGACAAATTGCATTGTGATGTTCATCTAAGGGACTTATCACAATGTAAACAATGCTAAAAATCGTAATATTCCTAAAAACAGACTTCATTTTCATGAAGCTCTATGCCTCTCTGCTGTGTTTTCATTGAGAGGAGTTTGCTGTTGGACGATGACCGTGTGTTTGTGTGTCTCTGTCTGTGTGTGTGTGTGTGTGTGTGTCTCTGTGTGTGTGCAGTGCGGGCGGCGGTGGAGCAGGTGGACGAGGCGCTGGACTGCAGTGATTCTCTGGCGCTCTTCAGTGCTCTGCAGAACTCCAGTCTGGCGCTCACAGGACTGATCCGAGATCACGCCGGCTGGTACCTGGAGCAGCTGACCTCTGACCGAGAGCAGAAAGCCCTGGTGAGACACTCGCTATCCTCTCTCACACACACACACACACACACACACACACCATACACCGCTGACTGAGGTGTGTTTGTGTCAGGATCTGGGCTGTGTGGATCCGCTGGAGAGAGATGAGCTGCAGGAGGGCGTCAGTGTGGCCAATGAGGAGGCACAGAGAGACCGAACCTGTCAGTGATGCATCTAAAACACTCTTGTATTAATGCAGGCCTGTTCATTAGTGTGAGCTGTGGAGGCCAGTCTGTGGTGTTAAAGTGTGAGTTTGTGTGTGTGTGTGCAGTGCAGCAGGCGGTGTGTAAAATAAACGAGGCAGTGCAGCGTGGAGAAGCTCGTCAGACGGTTCGAGCTCTAATGAATACAGATGCTCATCTGCCAGACGTTTATCCGTTTGCTGCAGAACTTTATCAGAGAGAGCTGGCACCACACACACACACACACACACACTCTCACACACACACACACTCTCACACACACTCTCTCTCACACACACACACTCTCACTCACTCTCTCTCACACACACACTCACTGTGTGTGTGTGTGTGTGCATGCGTGTGTGTGTATGCAGGGGGAGCTGCAACAGGAGGAGTTGTTTGTTGCGGTGGAGATGTTGTCTGCGGTGGCTCTGGTTAATCAGGCCGTGGAGGTTCAAGACTTCGGTGCGTTCAGTGCTACACTGCTCAGTCCTGCAGCTGGACTCGCCGACATCGATGACAGTCTGATGCAGAGGTCTGACCACTCACTCATCAAAACCTGTTTCACTCGATCTCCTGCACGCCTTCTGTCTCTGATTGAGAGTTTAGAGTGTTTTATCCAGTCAAAGCTCTTTTAGTGTAACTGTACAAATGTCCAGCTTCAGCTGGAGCTTCTCGTGTCAAATCTTGACTGATTTTGATCAAGTAAGCGTCAGAATAACTGCAGTAATATCTCCAGATGAACACTTACTGGACTGAAGCAGCTCAGCTTTACTTGATTCTCCATCAATCATGTTTTAGAGTCTCAAATCTGATCCTCAGGATCTTTTGAGGAGCGTTTGTTTCCAGAAGCTTTATTTTCACTGTTCCTCAGCGGAGGAATGATCTTCACAAGCCTCCAGAACATCTCACATCTGAGGAGGAGCCTTTATTTCTTCAGCTCTCAATCACTGCATTATATGTTTGGAGCATTTCAGTCTTATCTTACTGAGACTGATTATTGGAGAAATAGAGCGACGACTGATATTTAGAACATTTTATGTCAGTATCTGCTGTATATTTTTGACAGTTTGAATCTCTGAATAAAATTGAGCTTCATATTCTCACTATATCGGACTAGATGAGCCATAAAAGCCTGATAGAGCAAATATGACACAAAACATGTATTTAGTTTTTTTAGATTTTGTCTAAAGATTCAATAAACTGTTCCATTTAAAAAAATGTGATTATTTCATGTCAAACCGTGTGTGTGTAGGTATTTCGAGCAGCTGTGTGAGCTGAAGAGGAGGGCAGGTAAAGCTCTTCTCAGCTGGAACGATCTGCAGACGGGACTGAACGCCGTCAACTCGGCTGCTCACGAGGAACATGAACGTCAGTTCATCACAAATGTGATTTTAAAGTGATTATAATAATTAGTCAGCAGCATTAGTGATGGTCTGACTGTTGATCTCCGCAGAGATTCTCACCATCGGTCTGATCAATCAGGCTCTGAGCCGCAGCGATCCTCAGAAGACGCTCTCGGCGCTGATGCTGGCCTCCAGCGGCCTGCAGGACATCTTCCCGCTCAACGCCAGACGCTACCATGATGTGCTGACCCGAGCCAAACGACACAAGGCTGAGGTAACACCTTCATTAATCACTGCTGGTTTACTGCACTGCATCAGCATTGAGACCTGAGCCTTCTGTTGTTCAGTCATTCATTCATAAAGCTGCACTATAAGACTTTCTCTTTATATGCAAGTTACTTAGTGTTGTGCTTCTGCACAAATAACTTGCATCAGAGCAGATGTCAATTTAATCAAGTCATACTGACAGTCAGAAGTCCTGCAAGGCATGTTTCTGAATAAAAATGCTGTCTAAACAATAGTGTTGGGTACCGGGGTACTAATATGGCACCTATGTAACCAGTATGTACTAGAACCGAATCAGACCGCAGATGCCATCCCTGAGCGCTCGATTGAAATATTAGTCCTCTGGTTCTCCGAAACGGACGTAAGCATCATCATCACCGGCACCGCACGTGAAAAATAATTTCCCGACTGAGAAAACGCACGTGAGCTCAAGTCGGAAAGCTCTAATAATACAGATCCAACACATCTTTGTAGTAACGCGAGTATGCATGTTGTTTCCACATTCCGACTTAAAAGCACAACTCTGGAAACGAGAGCATTTGAGGAGCGTGTGAATGCAGTAATTACACT